TGTAGCTATAATCCATACAAAGAAAATGTATGTTAAAATTAGTTTGTAATATAAGCAGTTACCTAGAAATGGGCAATTTTGCATAAGTCACTGTTTTCGTTATTTTGCCTGTAAAATAGTCAATTATTATTGGATTTTCACAAAAGTGACACCATTTGATTCAAAAAGCAAGTATGCGTCGTATCAAATTGATTACAATTTAAAATTGACACCGGAAGTGACGCAATTTTGTCAAAAAATGCATTTTTAACTTTTAAAATCAATATTTTTTTCAACCAAGAATTATTTAATATGTATTACCGGTAATAATTTTAACTTTTGGTTTACATTCACATATTAATAAAATTCATACGGTCATATAGATTTCACAAAATTATTTCTAACTTATTCAGTTGTGGAGAAATAGGCGATTTTCAACAGGTCACTTTTCAAGGTTTTTGGTCCATAAAAGTGTCAATTATTATTCGATTTTCATAAAATTTTCACTAATGCCATTTACAATTTCATACAAGTAATTTAAGATTTTCATTATCACTGGAAGTAACGTCATTTTGGCAAAAACTGTATTTTTAGCCTTCAAAACAGATATTTTATTCGAATGAGTCTGATTTGTAATGTTTTTAAAAGTATGATATTTGATTCAATCAACAAATAGATTGAACCCATACGATCATACAGATACCAGAAAATGGTTTCTAACTTGTACGGTTGCAGAGAAATAGACGGTTTTTGGTCTATAAAAGTGGAAATTATTAATCGATTTACATAAAATTTTCACCATGTGATGCCTTATGCCATTTCTGATTTCATAAAACTAATTGAATATTTTCATTATCACCGGAAGTACTGTACACTTACATGTAAAAAATGTATAAAATGAATTGATATTGCTGGATTTGGTTGATTCGGCGTCCATTTTATTTGATGTGTGCAATGCTTATGTGTCATTGGATAGCCCGAACAATGGACAATCGTATGACATCTAAATGGTAAAAATTCGCTGGTTAGGCAATATATAATGGGACGCTGAAAATCTAGTATTTTCATGTTTGGGGGCTATTCAGATGCTTTCATCCCGAAAACATCTCTTATTTCCTTTCTTAAACTTCTGTTACTTAGAGTCCTAACGGTGGTCTAGGATGTGAATCCAAATTTAAAAGTCTCAATATAGTATAAATGGTCCAAAAAGGGCCACAATCTTTGAAAAAGTCGAAAAATCGTTATATCTTCTTCTAATGGTATAAGAGAGATAACACATTGGCATCAGACTACCAATTATTTGCTAAATATTGTTAAATATATCTTCTGATTTTCCTTTCTTTTAAAAACTGTCCCATGGATCTTTCTGAAACTTCTGGTACAGGAAGTGAAGTTCCCATACAACGTGTTAAATCTATCCCGACAATGATCCGTAAACCGGAAGTAGTCGAAAAAATATTCAATATTTTAAAAAAAAAGATAGGTTGCCAGGCAACAAAACATACGCCCACAGCAGCTAAATCGTCCAAGCGGTCGTCAAGTGTTGTCGCATATTTATTCCTTTGTAGGTAATTGGGGGTCTTTACAAGACAGTTCCATACAGATCAGATTATAAATTTTGTCGATTGAGGGTTAACAAGGTTCTACAAACTGAAACAAGGGTCTAAACTCTGGAAGTAATCTACAGAAATTGTTGAAATTTGACAGGCTTTTTCGTTTTACTAATTTAAATAATGCATATAAATTTCATACAGATCACATGATCACTTTTGTCATTCAAACGTTCACAATTGCCATAACTCTAGAAATTATTGACAGAAACTTCTGAAATTCAATAGATCTGTTTCACAAATTTAAATGATGCATATAAATTTCATACATATCGGATGATAACTATCATCAATCGAGCAAGGTTTAACAAATTGAAACAAGGGTAATAACTCTAGAAGTAATTATTGTAAATTGCTGAAATTCAATAGGCTTCTTCGTTTCACTAATTTAAATCATGCATATAAATTTCACAAAGATCGGGTGATAACTTTTTACGTTAAAGCGTTCACAAGGATCAATAAAGTGAAACAAGGGCCATAACTCTAGATGTAATAAACGGAAATTGCTGAAATTCAATAGGCTTCTCCGTTTCACTAAAAATAAAAATTCACCATCATCAATCGGGAAGTTGGATGGTTAGTGCATGCGCATTGTATCGTAAGGTCAGTTATTGAGTCAACTGGCGTGGTTTCGATTCCCCAGTTGTACGTGACAAGGAGTAGGGTCGACTGTCCAACTTTGTGGTTTTTCTATGGGTCCTCGGGTTTCCTCCCACTGCTAAAGACCCCTATGTGCAAGCGAATTATTGAAATAAAATTAAAACATATTATTATGTTAGTCCCGATATGACCTAGTTTGTTTTGAGTGGATGTTAAACCCCATTTCTCTCTCTCTCTCTCTCTCTCCATCATCAATCCCAAGACAAATAATTTACAAAAATAATTTTGTTAAGACTCCATTCTAATAATGTTCTAAAAAGAATTAGAAAATGTCTAAGGAATTCAAACAGAGGTGACTTTGCCCCTTTTAGTGGGACTGGTCCCACCCCTTTAAGGGCAAAGTAAAGTGACAAAAATTGTCACTACACCTGAAATGGGGGGTCCTCAAAAAATCATTCACAACACCTTTAGTGTCTTTATTTTGGTGCCTAAACATGCTTGATGATACTGAACAATACAAAATGGACGAAAATCAAAAACACCTTTAGTGTCTTTATTTTGGTGCCTAAACATGCTTGATGATACTGAACAATACAAAATGGACGAAAATCAAAAATAATGACTTTGGAATTTGTAACTTTGGAAAATATGAAGAAGCAAATATACCATTCAGCACTGCACAGCTACAGGATAAACAACTCAACATGGGAAATCACAAAGTCTCACAGAGATACCTGAATATATATATACTACAACCATCAAGACTTCAAATTTTGAAAACTATCTTTGTTTTAGCACACCAAGTCCATATAATTAAATTTTTTTTTTTCAAATATCCTCCATTTTTTTCAAGGGACTACTTTCAGACGTTTTGTATGGAGTACCATCATAAACATCATTTGGATTAAATGTTTCGGGTTTGTATGGAAAATTGTAAATACTGCATCACAATTTCCTTGAAACTGCTTTTGGTTTTCAGCAATTTGTATACGCCCACATTGAAATGTGGACGTATATTGCCGTCGCCCCCGTCCGTCCGTCCATCGTCCACAATTTCTTGTGAACGCTCCAACGCCAAAAGTTATCATCCTATCTTTCTGAAATTTACATGCATTATTTAAATTAGTGAAATGAAGAAGCCTATTGAATTTCAGCAATATCCATTTAGGGTATTACGTCTAGAGTTATGGCCCTTGTTTCACTTTATTGAACCTTGTGAACGCTCTAACGCCAAATCTTTGTGAAATTTATATGCATTATTAAGATTACTGAAACCAAGAAGCCTATTGAATTTCGGCAATTTCCGTTTATTACGTCTAGAGTTATGGCCCTTGTTTCACTTTATTGATCCTTGTGAACGCTCTCACGTCAAAAGTTATCATCCGATCTTTCTGACAATTCTATGCATTATTTAGATTGCTGAAACGAAGAAGCCTATTGAATTTCAGCAATTTCCATTTATTATGTCTAGAGTTATGGCCCTTGTTTAACTTTATTGATCCTTTTGAACGCTCGAACGCCAAAAGTTATCATTCGATCTTTGTGAAATTTATATGCATTATTAAGATTAGTTAAACGGAGAAGCCTATTGAATTTCAACAATTTCTGTTTATTACGTCCTTGTTTCACTTTATTGATCCTTGTGAATGCTCTAACGCAAAAAGTAATCACTCAATCTTTGTGAAATTTATATGCATGATTTAAATTAGTGAAACGAAAAAGCCTATTGAATTTCAGCAATTTACAATAATTACTTCTAGAGTTATTGCTCTTGTTTCACTTTGTTAAACCTTGTTAATGCTCGATTGATAATAGTTATCATCCGATATGTATGAAATTTATATGGATCATTTAAATTTGTGAAACAGGTCTATTGAATTTCAGCAATTTCCATCAATAATTTCTAGAGTTATGGCGATTGTGAACGTTTGAATGACAAAAGTGATCTGTATGAAATTTATATGCATTATTTAAATTAATAAAACGAAAAAGCCTGTCAAATTTCAACAATTTCTGTAGATTACTTCCAGAGTTAAGACCCTTGTTTCAGTTTGTAGAACCTTGTAAACCCTCAAACGGCAAAATTTATAATCTGATCTGTATGGAACTGTCTTGTAAAGGCTCCCAATTACCTACAAAGGAATAAATATGCGACAACCCTTGACGACCCGCTTGGACGATTTAGCTGCAGTGGGCGTATGTTTTGTTGCCTGGCAACCTAACTTTTTTATAATGAATACACATTATCATTTGTATTACTTCTCAATTCACCCCTTGAAACTTTGTGCCAGGAAGCATAAAGATGCACTAACAATTAAACATTTTTACTAAGTTTTACAGTAAAATTTGTTTTAAATTTTATTCAATATTTATTCACACTCAACACTTGTTTTATCTTAGATTGTACACTAATAGTCCACTATTGAATGTGGAAAGGTCCATCTGAATGATTGATTGGAAAATATGATGTGTTTCAAATGGTACGCCATAGATATGAATTTGCCCTACAAAAATTATATCTAGGTAACAAATTCTATATCAGACCCTCAAAATGATTATTATTCTAACATAAATGAATAATAATCTATCCAAAATTTAGAAACAAGCCTTTTTGCTAACATTTACCAACACTTGACAACGGTAGTCATGATAGCTTCGATTTTGAGAGTTCTGTTTTCATCAATTTACAGAACGGTCCATATGAATGTTGATATTAAAAGATGTGACAGTTCTTGCAAATGAAGCGCAATAGCCTATAATATTACGATGTGATAGTATAAGTCAAAAAGTATTAACTGCATTTTTATTTACCTTTTTGTGTCGAATTACTGCTCAAAGGAAGTGCACCGTTGCTCGCATCAATGAGTTCATGCATGCCTGTATATTATCAAATCCCGTAAATGACACCTCATTTGTATTTTGAAATGAATTAATCGTATTCCGCAGTTGTTTAAATTAAAAAATTAAAAATTTGTATTTAAAATTAACACTTTGCTCTTGATATTAGCATAGGGTCAAGGACATATCGCCGATACAATGTTCCACTAAGCGTTGTCAGTTCAACGATTATTATTCGCATCACTCGTCTAAAGACATTGTCGTGATCCAGCCGGGGCGATCAACTAGACTGTTTGTTATCGTTAATAAGAGAACTTCTTACCGTGCTGAAATCTATAGTATAACTATTGTGTATGGTGAAATAGTTCCGGCTCGTTCATCCGGACTAAAGATGCGGCGTGCTATATATAATAAGTGGCGTGCAGTGGCAGCAGACGACAGAAAGTAGTGCAAATATACTATGCATTCTTACTACATAGACCGGGAGCCCAGGGGGTCAACCTAGCTGAAAAGTGTACCAATTTTCTCCTATATGGTATCAATGTATGTATATCTGGTATCATCAGAATGTAAGTCTGCCGGGTTTCTGGTGGTGGGTGTGGTATTCCACGCCCTAAATGCCATGATCCCCAACTAGGCTAGATGAGCTCAAAAGTGTACCACACGAAAATCTTACTGCAGAGAGAGAGAGAGAGAGAAATGGGGTTTAACGTCCACTCGACACAAACTAGGTCATTTCGGGACCAACATATGGTATAATTTTATTTCAATAATTCGCTTGCGCGTAGGGGTCTTTAACAGTGGGAGGACCCGGAGAAAACCCACGAGGTTGGACAGGCAACCCTACTCCTTGTCACGTACAACCGGGGATTCGAAAACACGCCAGTTGACTCAATGACAGGCCTTATGATACAGCACGCACGTGCTAACCATTCGGTCATCCAACCCCCCATCTTACTGCAGTGTACCGTACATCTTCGGGTATTACAAAAACACTCTGACAGACATTTCTAGTGGTGGGGTACCCCTGACAGAGCTATTTAATTGCCAGACATTTGTAGTGATGGGGTATCCTTGACAAGTGTTATCTAATTTCCAGACCAAAGCTAGGCTAGATTAGCTCATATCTGTACCACCTAAAACATCTTTGGAGTTGTTCAGTACCACCACAGGAATTATGAATGACCACTAGCAGACAGTTTGTGCATCCGACGCCAAAGGTTGAGTATTCCGAAAAGGACTAGTATTCCGAGGACTTCCCATTGGAAATCGAGAAGGGCTATCACTGCGAAACATATTGCTAGTTTGAGGTCTCAGTGGACTGTTGGAATATTTATTGGGATACCTATCATTAGATCGAACTTGACTACGGGAGAATCTGTTTTCGTACATGCGTGGACTGGATGCACGCGGATTATTGTACGGCGAAGAATCATAACGTTGATAATTTGATGGGAAACTTGGCAAAGGACTTGGTGAACGTGGATTACTGTACTGTGAAGAATCGTTACGTCTGTAATTAGAGGGTGAACTAGGCGAAGGCTGTTTATTAGGTATGAAATCATCAATGCGTCGGTAAATATACATCGGACTGTTCGATCTTTGCTGTTGATGATAAATCTGATAATTTGGAACATAAGGTCTGGATGCTGTGGTGTTGAAATTATCAACAGGAGTAAGAGAATTATTGCGTGCCTGCTCTTTCATGGATGAAATATCCTCTCTGCAAACGCCCTCTTCTTGTATGGTGAATCTTACTTCGAAATCCTCCGGACAACTCACCTGCCTTTGATTATAGGACACTGATTTCTGCGAGCCAAAAATAGCTTTGGAGTTAGCCTGCGAAGATTTGATATATTTTACCGCCTTATATATATTTCGCGGGGATTTTTCCAGCGCAGATTTAGCAGAATCTTTATCCTTACATCCCCGTAAAAAGGCTTCCACAGCAATATAGTCCACCGTGGAGTTATTAGCATAGGGTGACCCATAACCATCAATTTAAGTGCTAAGAAATGAACTCTCTGAGCGAAATCATCCAAAGACACACTCCAATTGCTTTGCATTTTGGAGTTCTCTACTAGAAATAACAGGGGCATCTTTCCTGCTGAAACGACGCTTTAGCTCTTTTACCAGCCCATGATACTTACGAATATTCAGTCTGTTTAAATATTCCAGGGCTGACCCACGAAGGCAGTCAGACATTCTCTCAAATCGTTTCTTCTGAGACCAATGACACCTCCGTCCTACGCGGTCAAATGGATTAAAGAACGACTCCCATGAAGTCTTGTCATCCCCGGAAAAACACAACATTTTTGGACGATTTGGATTGCACTGCCGCGATCATTCACCCTCCGATTCCGATGCAGAAGAATCCTCCTGAACAGAAGAACGCTCACGAGAACGATCAGAGGATGAAGAAGACGAACATCGACGCCTTGGAGTTGATTTGGACTTTAAGTTGGGATCTTCCGCGGCCATATTAAATGCAGCACGTTTGTGCTGTCCATTTAAAAGGGACCGTTTCCTCCTAGTAGTGTGTGGAAACTTACCTCCATTGTGTTCTTGATTTTATATTCTTGTTTTTCCAGCGTATAGACCATCTTCAGGAATGGCATCAGCAATTCTCTGCAACTCTTCATCTCGTCCCTTAATGCCTAACGAAGAAGACTGACGAGGAGCTTGTCTAAATGACTGCACCCCCCTATCAGATGGGACAGTTGCATTAACAATGGGATCTATAAGTTTGGACAGCGGAAAGGAAGCAGGTTGCGTACTGGTAGGTGTTGACTCTGCTTTAAATTTGGCAGGCCTTGCATATAAGGCAAATTCAGATCGTAACTGCTGCCCAGGTTATCTAATTTTTTGTCAAATTTATCTGATAAGTCCTCTATTTTAGAATCTATGGAAGTGCTGAGGTTCTGAATTAGTCTTATCACATCAGCAATTGAAGCGGTGTCAGGGTCCAGTGGTGGTGCGACAACATTCCCGCCTACAGCGCCAGCGACTTCTCCGTCAGCAGTACCAACAGATGAGTCCTGTGGTAGGTCAAAAGAAATAATACCCTCATTCACCCAATCCTGCCAGTCAGTTTGCATGCCAATCGTTTGCACAAGATAATTGATGGTCAGTGGTCCCTCCAATGTTCTTAATGCGACTATTTTTTCAGCTCGTTTTTGTCCAATGCGGGGAATTAACATCAACTGATCAATGGTGGCAGTTTGTATTTTGATTGCCATACTGGTAAGATAATTATCAATTTAATTACAAATAATAAAATCTTTTTTTTTTATTCGATATACAATGCACTTGGATATTCCACTTGAACCAACAAAAATAAATTTGTCAGCGATGGAACAGACCCTTTAAATTAACTTGCACTGTGATCAAGGTGTTTGTTTGGAACTTACTTTAAGATTATAACATGAAAAATATTAATGCCAGGATAGACAAACAAATTAAATTAATGATTTATATATATGTAATTATAATACAAGTTTAATTTACAGTTGACCCAACAAGAACCTCCAAGATAATCTCAGAAGCAAGATGGATGCTGTAACCAGGGATGTCACGTGATGACGCTAACAGAAATCTGATTTTCACTAATGTTTAAATCTCGATGTAAATCTCAGTTTTATCCAAATAAAATGTATATTTATGATATAATAAATTAAATTTAAGAAATAGACTTGTCTGATTTACGTATTTCAAGCTCTAAGTAATGGGACTATTTTACCTGAGCAGAAAATGGCATGAAATTCAAAACAAAGAAAATATTTCGATATAGCTATATATAACTAAACCTGGCGAGTATACTGTATTCCACAATGGTATCAATTCCTCTATCGGCGACGCCAAATGTCGTGATCCAGCCGGGGCGATCAACTAGACTGTTTGTTATCGTGCTGAAATCTATAGTATAACTGTTGTCTATGGTGAAATAGTTCCGGCTAGTTCATCCGGGCTAAGATGCGGCGTGCTATATATAATAAGTGGCGTGCAGTGGCAGCAGACGACAGAAAGTAGTGCAAATATACTATGCATTCTTACTACAACATGAAGGGTCACTTTCAAGATTGAAAAAGAAAATGACAGATCCCAACCCCGTGGTAGCAAGGACGGGGAAATCTCATACTACAAGGAAATAGGAAAGCAACTCGAAAATCTAAGACCCGACTACTGTACTACATAGATCAGAGTATAAATAGAGAGATAATAGCTGTCCTCAAGTTTTATCGTTTTGTCTGTATGGGTGTAACCGTGATTGGGCAAGAAAGTGATGAAACTGAAATTTTGGTTTACGTGATAACACGCGGATGTACGAATTAAAGGGGTATAGACAGTGAAATAGTGTATTGTGAGTAATAGAGTTTATTTTGGACCTTTGTAAATTGTATCCAAGGGCCATTATTCTGTGTTGGGAAATAATATCTTCAGCCTTGTTGGTGTTGAGACTACTAGTACTATGCAACAAGATGGTGTCCCTTTACCTTGCCCTAAAGCCGATAAATTGAAATTTGAACCACCACGGACAAGAAAAATATCTTTGATAGTGAAAAAAGGACAGAAAGACATCTAATTTGGAATTTAGAACCCTGAAATTGACCATGTTCACCTGTTGTCACAAACTTCCACTGGTGGGGCTGCTACCCAAATTTACCTTTTGGGATACGTAATGTATATTGGTAGGAAGTAAAATCTTCAGAACTATCACTACAGAAGCTGTTTTGCAAATGTCGATGAAATTACCGTGGGTATAATCTTTTTGTGTGTCTTTGCTATACCCGCACAGATCTACAGGAGTCAACAATATAAAAATCATCTGACCTGTATCCTGTAACCATCATGCACTCATGCAGGACAAGAACCATTGACAGCTGGAATTCGATTGTTACCCGCGCCAAAGGGGCGCTATTGCACTTTCGTACCTCTACCAGTTCCCGTGGTCGTAGGCACTTGACATTTTCAGAGGATGTTAAGGGGGACTAGCAATGACCACACACCAAATTTCACCCGAATCGATCAATAAATTTATTTTACCGACCATTTAATTAGTAACGAGAGAGAACTTCATCCGTTTGACGCCATTTGCTTTGTTTACTATTTAGACTCGAATAACAAGACACTAAGACGGAAACCGACACACTGCACTAGCTGTCTGACACTGCAGTTCATAAAAATTAATATAATTTTCGTATACTTTAATTTTTGCGCGATGCCACCATTTTCTATAAAATAATATTTGGTGTTGATCAGTGGATTGGCCTTTAGGTGTGAATATTGCCGTGACCTTGATTTTGACCTTGAGTCCAAACTTCCCATCCATATCGGGGCCTTTGCGTTTATGCTTGCCGTGGCCTTATTTCTTACTGTACTATCAAAGT